TCTCCCTCCAAGCAGTAACCGCCTCCCCACCCACCTTCCTGTCCTCCATGCCAGAAGTCGCGTCAAGGTTAGCTTTCTCTTCGTACTGTACTTTGTGTCATATTTTTGCAGTTTTTTTTAAAAAAAACATGGTTCAGAACGGATTAACCATATTTACATTGAACCTCATGGGGAAATTTGATTCGGGACGCGATAAAAAATCGGGTCGCAACCAAATTTGGAGGGGTCAGAACGGATTAACCGTATTTACATTGAATCTTATGGGAAAATTTGATTCAGTTCACGACCAATTCGGTTCACGACCAGAGTCGCGGAACGACTTAAGTTCATGAACCAAGGTACCACTGTATTTGCATACTTACTGCCAGGTCCCATTCAGGTGCTGAACTCTCCATACACTGTAATACTAAATTTACAATATAATGTTCCAATGAATCCCCCAAACTTTTAATCTGTGGTTATGCTCGGGGTGGTGGTGGTTGAATACTGTTATCTTGTTCTCTTAAACTTCACCCTTCTAAGGTGATCAGCCTACGTTCCAGTTTAACAAAAAAAAACATTTTATTGAATAGCAAATTGACAATTGGATAGCAAGTCATCATCCCAATTATTCTTCATCAGCATGTGCCAATAAACTCTTCAACTTTTCAGAGGTATTCTATTATCTTAATGCAGAGATTACTGCTAAGGAGTTAAGGATAAAATTCCAACTTCCCTGTACTATTTACCTGTGACAGAATTCACATATTACATGCCTGTAGTTCTAACTTTTTCCTTCTGGCCATCTGCCAGGATGAGTTTATCATCTAGTCTTGAAAATAAAGTTCCAGTAATGGAACTTCATCAGTAAACTGCTGACGGTTTTCTTACTACAATTACCATCTATTAGAAAAGAAATAAATTGGTTATTTACTAAAAGCCCCAAATGGGTATGTTATTAAAATAAAGTTCCTCATCTCCAATAATATATTTTAGTGTTAGTAAAATTTGTTCATATAAAAGAGAAATACTAGCCTATATTTATTTTACTGTCCCAAGAGCCCATAAAACATACAGTTGAAGTAAAATGCTTAACTTTCTCTGCTTTCCTTATGCTAACAGGAAGTATTTAAAGATTCATCAATGCAAAATCTACCCATTTAGGAAGTGAATATATTTGCAACTTTATTTCTGTTTTAAGAGGATTAAGGCAACAAAATATAAGCATATTAGAATGACTGTGCGACAGCAATAAGACGAATTTATCTATACATATTATTTTAAAACAGTTATGGAATGATAAATACAAGCTATGCTCAGTTTAACCAGCATGCTTTCCGTAAACAAGATTACTAAAACCAGTTAATTAACACTAAGTTATGAATATTCTCACAGATAGATGCAGTACAAAAATGAATCTGTCTGAAAAAGTACAAAGAGCAGCAGTATATCTGGATCAAAGAGAGCAAATACTAGACACTTGCATGAACGTTTTCTTCTATTTTAATGACTAACAGAAATTTTCCTGGCCTACACAGTATAACCCTATGAAAGAAGCATATGTTTTGTCAAAGTAGCATAATGAATACAAAATGCAAAATTTGAACAAGGTTTTATGTTAAACTGACGTTCCCAGCCATAATGTAATATAAATGCTCAATGCAGCATCTCATATCAAAGAAAGGCTCATGTGCAGAATGTAAATATTGCAGAGTCATAGTAGCCCATGTTTAGCAGTGTTTCAATTACAAATGCATCCAAAATAAATTTTAGACTTCAGGAATAGTATGATCCATCAAGCTTTTCATAACACTTGAAGCCATCCTAGAAAAAGAGTTAACAATGTATTAGCCCATAAAAGAATATGCAACATTCAAAACTTGCAGAATTACAAAAAGAACAGAGCAAAATATTTAAATTATCTGTCAATGAGTTAATATTAACAGTCTTGTTCTACGATTTTATTCTATGAGCAAAGATATGTGTAGAATTATAACTTGCATTAAGATGTGGAGTCCTTGGTGCTCTCTGAGCTTGGTTGCGATCAAGCAGAAAACAATACCCTAATTAAGGAACTACCAAGGAGAAAACCACACCCCTACCAAAACTGGCAGGACAATCTACTGCAAATAAACAGGGAGCAAACCCACACTCATTTTCATTAATGATGTTACCTAGTTGGGTAATGAAACGTCTGCAAGCAAACAACCAAGCTCACAGGGCACCACAGACTCCACAGTTCAACCTTGAACTACATATATTCCCTTCTATTTCATTAATATGCTTATTCTTAACAATTTCAATTCTTGAAGTTTCTTGTCAAGTTTTCAGTTAACTTTGATTTCAATAGCAAAGTTTATATGCTTTCCAATTTAATAGTGGATAAAGCTGCTGGACTGCAGATGTTACTCCCAATACAGGTAAACTGTGATGGAATGGACTTATGAAGGCCAGGCTCAGGGAGATAAGCGTGTTCTTAGCCCCCAGTAGGAATGTGGGAAGTTCAAGAAGATGAGGCTGGCACCTTCCTAAGGAATTCATGGTGTTGTGGCTGGCTGGCTTGGGAACTAGGGTTCAGT